TAATTAAAATAATAAAATAAAACCAATCAAAATAAAATACTTAGGCCTACATGTCATGTGACCATTAACCAACACCAGAGAACCATGAACATGCAAATTTGTTGTGCTATTAATCAAATATTAACTTCAGGTGAATTTGTGTGCTGACGCGCCAGATAATATAATTTATTTAGCCATTAACACCAGACAGAAGGATATTCACATCACTATATAAGGAAGCGCATAAATTGATGGAAATGCATAGGTTACTGTACTGAAAGCCGAGTGCAAATCACCATGATGTTATAACATCTCTCGAGTAATGGATTTTTTTTTTTTTTTTTTTTTTTTTTTTTTACATGTAAAAGGTTTGGCTGGCAAAAAAAAATTACATGCAAATTAAATAGTTTATAAATCCATACGTACATGATTTGAACGCAACAATTTATTTATGAAAGATTTTACGACCGATTTAGGCAGATTTCTTCTGCTCTTGTTTCATGAATAATGCCCATTGATCTTATCTTACAATCCAATCAAAGTCATAGACAGGAGATGAAAAATGCAATATTTTCAGAATGTGCTGTTTTAAAGATATTTCTGACCTCAATCGAATGCAGAGAACTGCCATAATCCAGTAGATGGGTAAAGCTTGTTGGAGTTCAGACAGGTCGGGATGTGTTTTCTTGCTGTGTTAACAGTGCTGACCCCTTTCCTGTCTCTGCTCTCTATCAATGATGCAGAAGGCTGGCAATCTCCGGAGATGCTCACCATGTTCATATGTCCACACTCACCTTGCTCATCTTTCCTGCAAAGCTTACAGAGATGTATATTTAGCAGCTGAGTGCAATACCACAATATGATGGTGTTGTTTGCACTGGGAGGAAGTGATTTTTATGAAGTTTATTGGCAGGGGGAAACCCAGACGCAATTTGGAGGTTGCTTTTTCATAACGAATAGTGTTTTGTCTGTAGTGTTATATTTATTACCATTGTTTTAGATATTTCTCCTTAGATTCCATTTTATATGTAATTATTTATTTATTATGTAATTTATTTTTTATTATGTCCAAAAATGTTTTTATGCATTCAGGTTCAAAGGCACTTCGAGCTGCTTTTAATGTATGAAAGGTTCTATATAAATAAATAAAACAATTATTATTATTGGTTATATTTAATCAGAATTTTATCTATCTATCTATCTATCTATCTATCTATCTATCTATCTATCTATCTATCTATCTATCTATCTATCTATCTATCTATCTATCTATCTGTCTGTCTGTCTGTCTGTCTGTCTGTCTGTCTGTCTGTCTGTCTGTCTGTCTGTCTGTCTGTCTGTCTGTCTGTCTGTCTGTCTGTCTGTCTGTCTGTCTGTCTGTCTGTCTGTCTGTCTGTTCATCCATACTTTTGTCTGTCTGTCTGTCTGTTCATCCGTAATTCTGTCTGTCTGTTTCTGTCTGTCTGTTCATCCATACTTCTGTCTGTCTGTGTCTGTCTGTCTGTCTGTCTGTCTGTCTGTCTTGTCTGTCTGTTTGTCCGTACTTCTATCTGTCTGTCTGTGTGTCTGTTCATCCGTACTTCTGTCTGTCTGTGTCTGTCTGTCTGTTCATCCATACTTCTGTCTGTCTGTGTCTATCTATCTGTCTGTCTGTCTGTCTGTCTGTTTGTCCGTACTTCTATCTGTCTGTCTGTCTGTCTGTCTGTCTGTCTGTGTCTGTGTCTGTGTGTCTGTTCATCCGTACTTCTGTCTGTCTGTGTCTGTCTGTCTGTCTGTCTGTTTGTCCGTACCTCTTTCTGTCTGTCTCTGTTTGTCTGTCTGTTCATCCATACTTCTGTCTGTCTGTGTCTATTTGTCTGTCTGTCTGTCTGTTTGTCCGTACCTCTATCTGTCTGTCTGTGTGTCTGTGTGTGTCTGTCTATCTGTCTGTTCATCCGTACTTCTGTCTGTCTGTCTGTTCATACTTCTGTCTGTCTGTCTATCTGTTTGTCCGTAATTCTGTCTGTGTGTCTGTCTGTTCATCTGTACTTCTGTCTGTCTGTTCGTCCGTACTTCTGTCTGACTGTTCGTCTGTACTTCTGTCTGTCTGTTCGTCCGTACTTCTGTCTGACTGTTCGTCTGTACTTCTGTCTGTCTGTTCATCTGTACTTCTGTCTCTCTGTCTGTTCGTCCGTACTTCTGTCTGTCTGTCTGTTCATCTGTACTTCTGTCTGTCTGTCTGTTCGTCCATACTTCTGTCTGTCTGTCTGTTCATCTGTACTTCTGTCTGTCTGTCTGTCTGTTCATCTGTACTTCTGTCTGTCTGTCTGATCGTCCATATTTCTGTCTGTCTGTGTCTGTCTGTCTGTTCGTTTCTACTTCTGTCTGTTATTCTAGCTATTCATTCACTGGCCAGCTTTCTATTGGATGACTCAAAGGACACATGCAAGATGATTACAGAGCGTTTCCTAAAACATAGGCGTACACTTGCAGTTAGTGCTCTCAAGCATCTTAACATCTCAGACCTGAAGACTTCTGACCTTTGCATTTGGTACCTGCTTTTCATGAATGTTTAGGATGCCTGCTCTCTGCAGACTCTGGCACAGAGAGAGAAAAAGAGGGGTCAGATTGCTGGGGCAGCTCCGACGTCCCCTGGAACAGACGGGGTAAAGAGCCTCCATATAAGAGAAATAACAACAGCGATTGATGGGCGCTGCAGGCTAGCTTTGGAAAGTCGTTTCCATTATCTGTCTACACTGAATGCAAAGGTCATGTGTGACGTGAAACAGTGGCAGCAAACCCGAAAAGACTTCATGTGTAATATGCAATTACTGTAATGTACAATTAGTTTAGGATACCCAGAGAACGACCTTTTACTCCTCACTTGAATGGTCTGACTGGTTAAGTGATTTGTTGGAATAAAAATATGCCTTAGTGTACTCTTAAATATTAAGCTTCCAAAGGTTTTTATTTATTTATTTAATTAACTAAATTAAACAATCGATGCAAAGTTCTTAATGTTCTTAATCTACAGTGGATGCAATAAACCTTACATTTTAATAGTTCAGTTCCCAATAAAACTACATTATGATGATTTTACTGCAGAAGACTTTATTTGAAGTGTCAAAGTGGTCAAATAAATGACTAAAAAAGTGTGATGTGATGTGTACCGTATATATATATATACTGTATATATAAATATATGCTTAATTGGCTGTTGAGACGTGACACAAGTTGTATTGAGGTTGATGAGTTTGGACTTTCAGAATGAATGACATGGATTAATCAGGAATTTAGGTACAGGTCTTTATCATTTAAGAAACTAGTTGGTCCAATGTGTTTTTCACATAATCACTGACCTTAAAGTCGTACTGTCAAAATTCCCACTGATGCAATCTTGTGAAATATTTCACATTCCTTCCAACATCTTTCTGTTTGTCGGACGAAGAGGACAGAGTATGGAAATTTTTAACAAATTCACCCCAGGCTTTGATAAAGTGAGTCGAGGGTGGACAAGGTCGTCTTTTATCCACTGATATGGAAAGTAAAATGTAAAATAAAATGTTACATCCAGTCCTTTCAATAAACTGTGCTTTAAAAGCACAATTTCTCAAAGGAACAGTTCATCACCAAAAATCTAAAAACTATTGTGTCAGTCCAACCTACAGTATAATGTCTTTCCAAACCTGTATGACTTTCACTATGACAGAAACAAGTGTGCATGAAATCTCTTATTGACAAAAAACACCATCAAATATGACACCATTAATGTCTGTTCCTCGCTAACACTATCAAATAATTGAGTAAATATTAATATTAAATTTTATATTTCAATACTGTATTTTTTGTTTAGATAATTGTATATTTATATTTTAAAACACAAGTTTCGAGCACCTGGTTTGGTACTTTTATAGTGACATATTTCAAAATCCTAATTCTTGCTCTCTATAGTAATGATGAGAAAATCAATAAACAGTGCATTTCTCTAAAAAAAATTGCTCTATTGATTTCTCTCCATTTGTCCTTCCAATTTAGTCTGGAAACAGAGTTCAATACTGCCTATTGCAGATCAGATGTGTTGTGCCCTACTTCATTTGGCAAATTAACAAAAAAAAGGAGGGTAAACAAATAGAGGTGTATAGTGCAATCTGTCTTGATTAAAGGTACAACATTTTAATTTCATTTTTTTTTTCCTTCTGGGATGATGCAGATCTGTTGCAGAGCTCTTCTGTAAAAACTAAACAGTGTTCCCTACTTACAGAAAACCTGGAAATATCAGGGAATTTATGAAAATGGGATTTTAAAAGTCACACTATCTTAAAAAGTTGAGGAAAATTCATCATTTAAACATTTATTTGTCTAGACATCGCTCTTTGTGAGTGTTTGGCTGGGTCCAAGATCACATACTTTCCATACTAGTCGAAAAAATGGACCAAAAGTGGTAAAAAAAGAGACATTTTTAAAAAGGACTTGTGCCTTTTGTCAGGCCAGAGAAGTATAATTTCTTTAAAATACATAATGTATTTTTCTATTTTAAGTTTAATATAGCCTATTTCATATTTAGCCTAAGTAAGTTGCGAAATGTATGTTAAGACCATTATTGTGATCATATTTAATTATTATAAAACTGGAAACGTTGTATTTTACTGTAAAAAGTAATGTCAAGTAAAAGTATCAGACATGTTTTGTCCACGTCTCAAAAAAGAATCAGAAAATCACAAAGTGTGGGTACTCAGTATAAAACTAACATAAATATTTTAGTAGACTGCAACCCTGTAATAGCTGCAGCCAAGCCAACTTATCATAATCACTCTGTCGTTTACAGATATAATTAATTAAACACAACAAATTTGCATTTTTATCTTACAAATGTAATCATCCGTTGTGTTTACATCCAATCAGTTTCCCAGTAGTGTGCTCCGCCAATCAGATTCGTCGCTTGGGTTCAGCCTCCCGCCCTGACGGACGCATTATGGGCGGTCCCTGCACTCCTTCAGCCAATCACACTGTGTTTCTTTAACCACGTTGCGCGCTACCGACGGGCGAACCCGCAAGAGTATTCTAGGCCGCTCGTGTGATCAAACAGATCTACTCCGTTCCCGTGAACATCATCGAGATTAGAGGTGTGGGCTCTCAACTTTATTCCAATGGCGGACTGGGGTCCTATGAATCTGTATTAAGGTGCCGATCGCCGCATTCACACCCGTGAGTATTGACGCTTCTCCACTCTTGTGTTATTTTTAGACGCTGGATATTTTGCGCGTGTTCCCGCTGTGTTTATGTAACGTTAACGCAAATTGATTTTTTTAGTCGAAGCTCCTGGGATCCTCACGCAAGTTAGGTGAAAATCTGGTTATTTGAGAGGGATAGAAGACGTAAAACTGGTGCATAGTAGATGTTAACCCGCCCCCGCTGCTGGAAGGTGCATATTATGGTGTTTTGTGGTGGACGGGAACGCGCGTGTAGTGTGGAACTGTAATAGCGAACGCGATGCATCGCTGCAGCTCTGGTCGGAAGCGAGGCACGCGAGCCTGTCATAATGCAGTTCCACAGTCCACAATGGAAACGCGCACGGAGGATAGATAGATAGAAAACAACGCGCTTGTGGTAGTGAGATGGCTTGTTCTGGATGAAAACACGATGTTATTAGTCAAGCGCTTTTACAATGCAACTTCCAAATAACATTTCTGTCGAAAAATGTGGTTGTGTGAAGCAGCGCAGTGGCAGAAACCCCCCATTCACTTGTGTAAATTTGGCCGGCCAGCTCAATTTAGTCGCCCCTTCCGCAAATATTTTGCATACACTGACAATTCTGTCATCATCTATCTAGTTAACTACCGTCATTGTTTGGCTTTTTTTTTCCACCAGTGAAAGAAACACTATGAGTTCTCAACGTCAAAGGTCCTCTGTGTCATATAGACAGTGAAGGCATATGGTGGCATACTGTTTAACGTTACCCTGAAAAGTGCTCTGTAAATAAATTATTATTAATATTAATATAATTTTTATCAATAACCAAGGTGCAAGTTTAAATATAAACGACAAATAGCATATTTCAAAAACATTTATTTACTCGTATAAGTCACTTGAAAGTCCCATCAGGTTGGCTAATTTTTTTCTTAATGCTTTGGAAATCTGTTTCAGGTTGATGTTTTGGTTTCTGGTTTGTTGTTTCATTAGTTATCATCATTTATTGACGGGGAATGATATGTTGAGTTTATTTTTTATTTTCATCCTTTTGTGGAGGGGGCAGGAAAAATAAGATATTCTTCGTCCTGCCTCCTTTTCATCATGGTTTTATAAATTACATAAATGATGATGAAGTAAGTTAATGGAAAAAATATCCATGAATGAAATAAACAACAAATCAATAATAAAAAAAAACTACTCTAAAAGAGTAACAAACATATTTTATGTAGGGCTGTCAAACGATTAATCACGATTAATCACATCCAAAATAAAAGTTTGTGTTTACATAATATATGTGGGTGCACTTTGTATAATTATTTTGTATATATATATATATAATACACACACATGCATGTATATTAAGAAAAAAATATAGTTTATATATAAAATATTTATATATAACATAAATTATATATAAATCTATATACAGTATATACATGAAAATATTTCTTAAATATAAATAATTATACACAGTGCACCCACATATATTATGTAAACTTTTATTTTGGATGCGATTAATCGTTTGACAGCCCTAATTTTATGCATCTTACCACAAATGTTGTTAGGCTGTTGCGTTTTTGAAAAAAAAGTCAGTGTTTTTTATCATCATTTCCCCAAAAGTTTCATCATGGCCCCCAGAGTAATTTTTTGTTTGAATATCTGAACATGCAATATATCAAAAGAAAGAACAGACCTTTGCTTTTAAACAACCAAACAAAGAAACATTTTATTTTAGCTTCAATCATGCATTCCTTTTTTATAAATGGTAATTTTATTAAAAAAATGCAACGTTTTGTGCAAAAAGCTGAGAAGATCACGTTTTTAGGTTGAGTCCATCAACACCCCCAAAGCTTCACAGTCCTATAGCTCGTTCTGCGTCGACATTTTATTTGGTAACTTTAGGCAGTTTTGATTTATATGTTTAATATTGGTGATTGCGTTACATCTGCTTGCATACATCACTTGTTTCTGCTTCTTCGCCAGTGTTTTGATCAGGAGATTCATTATTCTTTCAGAAGATGTGTAATAGCACCCCCTACTGTATAACAGGGAAAATTGCGGGGAAAGAGTTAGGCCAAATAGTCACCTTTTTCAGACCATTCAGACTGATCTCATGAAATGGCATAATTATGTATGACACGCCAATTCATATTTCCATTTTTGGCGTACATATCAACACACATAATCGCTTTTCAGTGTGTTTATGAATGCCGTTGACTTAACGTTACATTACTGTATATTTAAATATATGACCTACCCCAACCCGTCACTGAGGTTAATAACATTTACGAGTCTTCCCCTACCATCCTAGGAAAAAAATATCGCTCCCCAGATGTAGATCTACATTTAGCTTCTTTTCGCTCGGACATTTAACGGCGTGTACATACACGCGGAATCACTCGGACATTTAACGGCGTAGACATGCACGTGGATATCTCAAAATGCGTATAGATAACACGCCACTTGACTTGAAAGTGGCGTATATGTTTACACAAAAGTCATGATGTCATCAAATTCTCGCTAAACACCATAATAAGTGTTAGCCTGGGAAAACCCAGACAACTTCCGGCAAATTTAGATTTGCTCTAAAAGTTAGTCTGGCAAAGAGCTCATTAAAGGGGAAATGAAGCAGTGAATCAAGTTTACATGATTTACAAGATGGATTTCCAATATAATCAACAATTATATAAGAAACATTACAAATGTAAACATTTAGAAGAAAAAAAGAAAAAACTTTGTATCTTTCGCCGCCAGGGCGCCGCCATTGTGCAGGTGACGTCACGGGGTTGGTTGGCTCAAGTTTAACAGGCTCTGGCCATTGAAAATCGCGACATCAAACTGTGTTTACACCAGTGTTTTGACCGCGAACGACTAACGTTAGGTACAGATATTAGACAAAAAGACGACGTCTCATGTTATATGTTGATAAACTGCACATAGAAACATTGTTCGCGATGTCTGCCGTCAGATATTCCCATCTCGTCAACACCATGCAGGGCTCCAGACTGCGACCAAATAGTCGCATTTTGCGACCAAAATTTGAGAGTGTGCGACTGAATTTTACATCCAGTCGCACATGTGCGACCGGTAAATTTGCCACACGTTAAACGCATGGTAGCGTGGAAGGGACGCGTCAATGAATCTGTGACAAGAATAGCGCGAATAAACGTCTGTGGGAAGGAGACGGAGACAAATATCACAACCTGCAATGTGCGTCTGAGCAATAAGCGATCTATCGACACGTTACCTAGCAGCGAATGCAAACAAAATGAAAGTGGAACTAAAATGCGCAACTCACGGACGGACCGTTAGCGTTTTTATTTGGTTGGACTGTGCATAATGGGCAGAGCAGCGCATAGTGGAGCCCCCCGAACCACTGACAGTAATAAAGCCCCGAACTTGCCAGTCGAGTCGCGGGCCGATCTCGATCACGCGACACTGTTACTAGCAGATCCATTGAATAAATCCATTGAATTCACCTCAGAATTAATAACATCATCGCTACGAGATCCAGTGAGAAACACTCCGATTCGGCGCAGAGTTCTGTTATAAACCATATATCAGATCAAACAGCGCTGACGTGGAAACCATGTGAAACACTTATAGAAGGCTTTCAGTCCACAAATCAGCAACATTCACCATGGATTTAGGCTAGTAAGTTAACTCTAACCATAAATATGATGTCAAACGCTTACAACGTAGCCTACACGTCCTGCTCTTCAAAACGATAATATCATATATAAATGTTTTATTTTTTTGTATTTTTAATTTTAATTTTAATATGTTGTAAAACTCTTATTTAAACATTGAAATTATTATTATTATTATTTAAAAAAAAACAAAAACATTGTAAACAGTAAGATGTTTATTGGCTATTCACTCCAAGTCCTTATGTACATACATGTTTTCTCTCCTTTTGTTTTTAATTAATATTAAGACATTATAAGAGGATAACTAAATTAATTTATTGTCAGCCCCAGTGCTATGTGTTTTTTTTTTTTTTTTTTTTGTATAACTCGAGTTCTGATTTGAGGTGGTGCTGCCCTCAAATTTGAGTCTGGAGCCCTGTGAACTTAAAATAAAACAGCATATCATAATGTTAAGTCTATTTATTATTAAATAATTGGTCAGTATTACAGTTATTTTGGGGGAAATTTGAAAAATTGCATTGCGAGCTGATTTAAGGTGTGCCCCTAAATTTTCTGCTTGCGCTCCTAAAATTTTCAGTCAGGGGCAACAGCGCTCCTAGTAAAAAAAGTTAGTCTGGAGCCCTGCCATGTAAGTTACGTTGCTATGTAAAACAGCTGGTGGTGGTTCGAAGAGCGGGTTTGCAACGCTAACTTACCAGGTGTCAGTGTGGCTGTTGTCCTGCGATGCCCTCCGTGTCAGAGTCCATCTGTTGATCTTAAGCATGTGTTGCGTGGTCAATTCTGCATCACCGGCGCGCACGTTTACCATGCTGTGCCGGGAGTTAGACGTGTGGAAGCGGCGATGCTTTCCCTGAAGGATGTCAGAGCGGAGACACTTTTTCCTAGTATATGTAGGCTGTAGCTAACGTTACTAGCACTACCAGTGCGAAAATATGGACGTTTCATGTCCCCTTTAACAAATACGTGCTAACTTGCATGTTATTGACGAGACGGGAATATGACGGCAGACATCGCGAACAATGTTTCTATGTGCAGTTTATCAACATGAGATAACATGAGACGTCGTCTTTTTGTCTAATAACTGTACCTAACATTAGTCGTTCGCGGTCAAAACACTGGTATAAACACAGTTTGATGTCGCGATTTTCAATGGCCAGAGCCTGTTAAACTTGAGCCAACCAACCCCGTGACATCACCTGCACAATGGCGGCGCCCTGGCGGCGAAAGATACAAAGCTTTTTCTTTTTTTCTTCTAAATGTTTACATTTGTAATGTTTCTTATATAATTGTTGATTATATTGGAAATCCATCTTGTAAATCATGTAAACTTGATTCACCGCTTCATTTCCCCTTTAAAGCCCATTT